GTTCTTGCATACTGCTTTGCTTATCTTGGTTCTTCTTGGCACTTGTATGGTAATTGGAGATGGACTTCTTACTCCAGCCATATCTGGTAAATTTATTTCCTATAAAACTTTAATCATCAACTGTTTTCTCCCAGTTTGCTGACTCTAAATTTCTATTCTGTTGTGTAGTTTTCTCTGCAGTGTCTGGTCTTGAGTTTTTCATGTCCAAGGAACATCACCACTGTAAGTTTTTCTGCTTGTAGTTTATCTTATGACCTATTATACTATCTTAATCATATTTGACCCTGTAAATGCATTTAATGCTCATTCCATTGAGTTCAAAGCATTGGAGCGTGGCATCAAGTCGACAACGGGCTTGTCAACATTAAGAATTAGTTGCCTGATTATTTTCCTTGCATAGTTATGTTCAAACAAGACCCAATTTCCTCCGCCTATTCATGCGAAAGAAAAGATAGAGAAAACCAGGAGGTTTTAGAAGTTGGACAATTTATTTTATTTGTAGATTTACTTTTATTCATAGACAAAGTAGCAAATATTCAAAAGGTGATATAAATTATTTTAAGAACTGAATTGCTGTCTCTTTTAGGTCATTCAAAGTGATAGCTGGATAGAAGCTACACCTGGTCAATAACTCTTTGCTAGTGAACAAAGTTTGGTTGGCCTAACTCCTAAGAGTAGGGACCATCCAAGTTGCTCAAGTTGTGGTCTGGAATTAGTCATATCCTCCACTCCCTTTATCATATCTATTTTAATTCTCTGTTTTAGGGAAAATATGAGGATTCAATTTCACTAGAAAGTTAGGAGAAAAAAGACCCCTTTCTATAGTTTGACTGTTACTGCATCTTTATGCTCCTAATTTAAGGTGGGTAAGCTGCAAGGGGATACTAGATATACATAGTGGATGACAGATACAATGATGTACCGCTAAGAAATGAAATACATAATTATTTTTATAATAAAAATCTTTCCTGCTGAAATCTGTTACACTTCTGAATAACATTTCCAGTTTGATACTACACTATGATTAATGAATGCAATTTTCTGTTGTTTCTGTATGTCTGTATATGCTGAGCGAAATATAGAAGAGAATAAAAAGAAATACTTTAAGGATGTGGGGCTAAATTCCAACAATTTGAGAGTGTCATTTTTTTTTTTTTTTTTTAACAATTGGCTTATTTAAATAGTTAAGGACACCTCTTTATCTGTAACTATAACAAAACTTTGATCCTATTTGGTAGAATTTGTGTTAAACAAAGTGGTTTAAAGGTATCAAAGCCTCCAAAAATATATGGGTTTAAAATTTTTCTGTATATGTAATGTGCAACAATGTAGTGGTTATAATTAATCATGAGTTTTGATGTCCTCATTTGCAGATGCGGTGGTTCCAATTACTTGCATCATCATAGTGTGCCTTTTTGCACTTCAACACTATGGCACACATCGGGTTGGGTTTCTATTTGCACCGGTTGTGTTGATATGGCTACTTTGCATAAGTGCCCTTGGCCTATATAATATTTTACACTGGAACCCTCGAATATATGAAGCCCTTTCTCCATATTACATGTTCAAGTTCCTGAAGAAGACAAGGAAAGGAGGGTGGATGTCTTTGGGTGGAATATTGTTGTGCATTACAGGTAAGTTTGGAAAAAATGCAAGTACAGTAAATTCTCATATAGTGACATAGATATAAACATATCTGTCAAAGAATTAAACTCTGAGCAACATCAACAAGCAGTTGCCAGTTACTTTTGCTGCATTGATGCATGTATGGTAGTCACATTTGTTAATAACCGGGTTAATGCAGGAAATAAGGGTCATGTGTTATGTATTTGCCAACTATGTAAGGTGATGGTAAACCATCTTACAAATTGTAATTCAGGAATAAAACCTGATGGAAAATTTACTAGGACTCAGAGCATTTGAAAATTTTCTTAACTTTATATAGTTCAATAAACGAGGATGCTAAATGGTATGTTTGTATCTGCAGGCTCAGAGGCTATGTTTGCTGATCTTGGCCACTTCTCTTATGTTGCAATCCAGGTACTCCTGACAATGATTTTGGATGAGAACTTTTGATTTTTAAACTTTTGTTGCTAGCAGTGTCTTGTCTGGTTAAGTCCAAGTTGCGTATTAATGATTCTGACTCTGTTCTGTGCTGTAGATTGCTTTCACCCTTCTGGTTTATCCTGCACTTATATTGGCGTATATGGGGCAAGCTGCTTACTTGTCACACCATCATCAATCTAGTTACGAGATCAGTTTCTATGTCTCGGTTCCAGGTATTCCTTTGTCACTGTTCTCTAAAAGTGAAAGCAATGATACTTATGAATGTAATCTATACAAGCTGCATGGCAACCGATAATTGTGTGATTAACTGGGACATTTATCCATCTGTGGTTGAAAAAAATATGATGGCTTTAAGTTTTTGGGTGCAGAAAGTGTAAGGTGGCCAGTGCTTATAATAGCCATTCTTGCTTCAGTTGTTGGAAGCCAAGCAATAATAAGCGGAACATTCTCTATCATTAACCAGAGCCAATCACTTGGCTGCTTCCCAAGAGTCAAGGTTGTTCACACCTCTGACAAGATACACGGGCAGATATATATTCCTGAAATCAATTGGATGCTCATGGTCTTGTGTATTGCTGTGACCATAGGATTTAGAGACACAAAACACATGGGAAATGCATCGGGTAAGTTACTGTGTATATGGTTCTGACAATTATAATTTTACCACTTCATTGAAGGCAATTTTTAAATTGTTTTCCCTCAAGCTATGACAAACTTGTGTCTAGATTTTTGGGAAAGCCTACCACCATTGCCCTGACTATGAAAACTGGTTTTTTGGAATAATATTAAGCTTGTCCTTTGCTTATGTGTTTAAAATTAATGAGGCTTCTTTCAAAACATTTAAGTTAGAAGAAGAGAAAAGTAATTGAATAAATTTCATCAGGTTGAAGTGTTATAACTTTGCTGTTATTTATTGCAGGATTAGCTGTGATGACAGTGATGCTAGTTACCACATGCCTCACTTCCTTGGTCATTATCCTTTGTTGGCACAAGCCCCCTATATTAGCGCTTGCTTTTCTACTCTTTTTTGGTTTCGTTGAATTGCTTTACTTCTCAGCTTCATTAACCAAATTCCGGGAGGGTGCCTGGCTTCCCATCCTCCTAGCTCTCTTCCTCACCACCATCATGTTTGTTTGGCACTATGCCACCATTGAGAAGTATGAATATGATCTCCACAACAAAGTATCACTAGAATGGCTTCTAGCCCTGGGTCCAAGCTTGGGAATTGCTCGAGTTCCTGGCATTGGTTTGGTTTTCACTGATCTCACCTCTGGCATACCTGCTAACTTCTCCCGCTTCGTTACCAACCTGCCAGCCTTCCATCGTATCCTCGTTTTTGTGTGTGTAAAATCTGTACCTGTCCCTTATGTGCCTCCTGCTGAGCGGTATCTTGTGGGCCGTGTAGGTCCTCCAGGTCATCGGTCTTACCGCTGCATCGTTCGATATGGATACCGTGATGTGCATCAGGATGTTGATTCATTTGAATCTGAATTAGTTGATAGGCTGGCTGATTTCATCCGCTATGATTGGTATAAAACTGATGAGACCAATTCATGTATTGAGGATGGTACAGCTCGATCGAATGAATCATCAAGTGATTACAGATTGGCTGTGATTGGAACGGTGCCATTTGCTGGCATACCAGCTTACGAAATTGAGGAGACATTGCAGCCAGCAAGTGTCTCAGGTGGTTTTACTTCAGTAGAAAGCGTGACAGATGTTATCGAGATGCAACCTGTTAATGTAGTTCAGAGAAGAGTAAGATTCGCTATTGATGACGAGTCTGATACAGATGCACATTCTGAGATAAATGTACAGTTGCGAGAAGAACTAGAAGACCTGTTTGCAGCTCAACAAGCTGGTACTGCATTTATACTTGGACACTCACATGTTAAAGCAAAACAAGGGTCATCATTCCTGAAGAGATTGGCCATTAACTTTGGGTATAATTTCTTGAGGAGAAACTGCAGGGGACCAGATGTAGCACTGAAGGTACCGCCGGTATCTTTACTAGAAGTTGGCATGGTCTATGTTGTGTAAATTTCTCATGCAAGTAGTTTCACCTGCTTATAGAGATGAGCTAAACTAAGCGAGATGTGTAGGTTAACAAGGTTCCTAGAAATAGCACGATGAATATGTAACCACATATATGATGATATGGGAGACTGAAATTACTATCGTATATAGAAGTGTAAAAATCTTTCATCTTTCCATACTTCTATTAGTATGTCATTAACCTAATCTTGTTAATTACAAAGAAGCGGGATGATTTTTTTTTTTTTTTTGATGATCTAGAGTGTTCGGACTAGTTTGCCTTCACTTTAACTAATCTCTTGGGCCTTGAAGTTGACAGCTAGGTAAATCTTCTCAATGACCATCTCTATTAGCAGTCTAGTGGGCCTTAAAGTTGATAGCCGAGTAAATCTCTTCAAAAACTACCCTTATTAACAATTCAAGTGGATCAAACTCAGGATCTATTGAATAATATATCCAAGAGTCTTAGTTGATCACTAGACCACTGGTTAAGCGGGATTATATTACCTTACTTGATAAGTTATAAGTTAACAAGCGGTTAACAATCTTCGGATCATAATTTAAAGGCTGACCAACAAATCTCCGCAAAAATGTTAACCATCCCATAAAATGTTACTGGGAAGTACTGTTATCTTTAGCTGAACTACAAAAACGTACACCTCTTTTCCCCTAACCATGAATGTTTCTATCAAGATATTTCTCAAATACTATTGACCCAACAACAAAAACAAAATGCACCCTCCTCTCAAATATATTAGTCTGGCAACAGGCCACGTAGTCGTACACCAACCACCAGGTTTAGAGTGGCAACATCCACTTGTCTGCAATTCAGTGGTCCAACTGGGCAAAAAAAGACACACATGCACACTAATATATATATAACAAGACCAAGTTTCAATGGCTGCCTTCGTGTGCTCAGAATCATAGAAGTAAATATGGGACTCAGGGCTCTTCATTTGTCACTTTCACCTAATGGTTTCACTTCACAAGTTGGGGTTAAACATAACTTGTCTAAGTCTAACTTCAGGCTTAGCAAGGTCTCCAGTTTCAGGGTTTCAGCCAAGAAGGAAGAAGAGCCTGAGAAGAAGAGTAAGCAATCGTTGTTTAGCAGTGTAACTGAAGCTCTTGATTTTTCTCAAGTAAGATCTCAAGAGGATGCTCAGCTTCTTGAAGACGCCAGAGAAACCACCAAGTCCGGCGGCAAGATGAGCAAGGAGCAGGTTTCTTAAGTTCATTTAATTCTAACAATATGTTATGCAGTTCATAAAACTCTATTTCTGTTTATGCAGTATGGGGCTCTTAGAAGGAAAATTGGAGGGACATATAAGGACTTCTTCAAATCCTACATTGATGGTACAGACTTTTAACTTAGTTTTTGAATTAGTAGTTGTTTATTAATTTCCAAAGTGATTATTAATCTTTTTCTTTTGTTATGAACAGTGGATGGGCAATATGTAGAAGAAGGGTGGGTTGACAAGACCTGCAAGGTCTGCAAGAAAGATACAAGGGGTGAAGCAAGGCAACTGGACAAGTTTGGAAGATATGTTCATGTTGCTTGTTTGGAGAAAGCCAACTCTGGAAACTTTTTTACCAGACTATTCTCAGGATGAAGGCCATTGATTTTGTTAGTAATACATCATACATCAGAATTCTGTGTAATGATTCCAATTCCATTTATAAATTTACAACTCTTCTTCTTGTGGTGTGGGTATCATCAAGAAGTTTGAGATACCCATGGGCCTTTCACCCGGCCCATCCATTCTCTCAAACCGGCTCAAAGGGCCCATGGGTTTCTATGTATAAGTCAAACTTTGAAGCAACTATCCCCAGTCATCATATTTTACAATTTAATTTAACGATCAATCACTTGTGAAAAAAAAAAAAAAAAAGGGGAAAAATCTAAAGTTAGAGATTTATCAATAGGTAAGGACCGTAAGGTCGGTCCAATAGGCCAGCACAGGGCCATTGCGGTACCAATAAAAAAGATGATCGTTGCTACTGGAATTTGTTAACATTTTTGCGGATACTGAACTCTGAAACCATTAAAAGTAGGGGTGTTCAAAAGAACCGGTTAGAACCAGAACCGACGGATATCCTAAGTTTGATCCTGGTTCCTACTCAGAACCAATCGTCAATGGATAGATTCCAGTTCCAAAGTTTTGGAACCTTTATTGTACGGTTCTGGTTCCGGTTCCTATAGTTAGGAACCAGAATCAGAACCAATAACCAGGAGTCGAGACTAATATAAAATAAAATTAAAGATTAGGGGGGTTAATAAAAACTTTTGTAGAAAAAGTAATGTGAATACATTTATATTTATATTTTATAACATTTAAAGTAAGTTGGTTTGACTTTTAAGAATCTACCTTTACAAAGTAATACAGTTTGTAATTTTGAATTTATAATTTTATTTTTGTTAACAAGTGTCAGGTGGGGGAGTATTTATAAGTTTTTAAGGATTTTTTTGCCATTTTAAAAACTTTTGGGGCGTCATAAATTTTTTAGGATACCCAGAACTGGAACCGGAACCATTGTTATAGGTTTTGGTTCTGGGTACCTAGGAACGGGAACCGTCAGTTCTGGTTTCGGTTTCAAATTTCAAGGAATCGTCGGTTCTTGTTCTGGTTTTGGTTCCTTCAAAAAGTGTAGGGTATTCAGAATCGAATACCCCTAATTAAAAGAACACTTAATAGCTTGTTGGGTTCTATACGAAGTATTTGAAATACGAGAAAGAAATAACATTAGGATAATATTTCCAAAGGATTTGCAAATAGAACCGCAGGTTCTTTAATCATTGATGGTTTTAAAATCGTTAAGCCTACGTTTCACGCAATACATCGGGGCCAAGCCCATCAATTTTGGGCCTCCATGATTAGTGCGGACCCTGATATTAATGGGCCTGAATTTTATTTAGCCTACACTATAGTAACAGCCGTTGGGCGTAGGCCCACCTACTAAACTGGCGGGAATCCTACATATATTTGGCGCGAAAACCTTCTCCTACTTATGAAGGTTGGCGCCACGGTTTCTCACGCTCCACAGTTGCGCAGAGGTGAGTATCAAAATGGTCGGACCACTGTACGATTGTCTGGCGAACCCGCTGGGAGCCGTCCGATTGACCTTCGAGAAGGCGATCGCATCAGGATCCGATCCAGCTTCTTTGGACGGCAAAGACTGGGGCGCTCTCGAACTTTTCCGTCAATTTCTCTTCGATAAAGGCGGCCTCTCCCATGTAAATCCTAGACCTTGTTTTTTTATTAACTGATTCGCTTCAATAAATTTAATTGCTTTCTAACGCTGCCTGGATGAATTAAACAAATCAACAGACCTCTTCACGCTAGATCACTAGGGATTTTAAGGGAAACCGAACTAAGGGACCTGAGATTTGCGTTAATAATATGTGGATAAATTTTTTTATTTATTTGTCAATATTTTTATTATATAAGTCCCCTCTGTAAGGGTGCTCGAAGAAAAAAAATTGAAACTTTTTGCCGTATATTTGATTAAAAAGCGGGGTGTTTTATAACAGTATCCCTAAAATTAATTGTTTGATAAATTTGGAGAGCTGAATTATTTGATTTTACTTGTATTACTATTTGTAGGTTCCGATTCTTAATCCGACAACTATGAGATGGGTTCAGCCCAATACCTTGGTTCGCTTTCGTGGAATGATACAAGATATGTTGGGAAATGAGTTCTATGCGGGTGCTTATAAGGTAGTATTTTGCGTTTGATGATAGCATTCTATTGCCATTTTGATAATATTTATTTCTACTAAAAAGATTTGTTGTGTGTTATTATTGTAGGATGGTTCTGTATGGAGGACAAACAAGTTCATGGATTTTTCTCAGTATCCTATGACTTCTTCACTTGATTCACCTGATGTACGAGTCTGGGAACGTCGTTTGTTGTACTGCATTCCGGTTAGTCTCGTTTATACCTTCTTGTTTAGGATGTCATGGATATTGCGGTTATGGATCTGTTGGTATCACTCAGTAGAGATGAGTAGGAATATTTGCTATTCTTGTCAACATATATGTTTGATTGTGAATGGAATGTATATTCTTCTTTGTTTCCATGTAGAAAATATTGTTACATAGAACATATTTGAAATACAAGAAATTTGATTTGCCTCACGATCTATTGGGTTGTTTCCCTTTTTCTTTGTTTGTAGGTTCCAGGACAGAATTCGTGGACTGAAACTTCATCTGAAGTAATGATGAATTGGTGCATGGACGGGACATCCCAACAGGGAGAGAAGCGCCAAAGGATGGATGATGATGCTCCTGACCACGTGGATATGGTGGGACTTTCTTTATCATTTTGATTTTATTGGCTCATAGTTTTGATTAACCTTCTGCACTTACAACAACAAGGGTAAACATTCAACAAAAAATTGGAAATGGTTCTAAATATAATTAAGTATGAGAAGATATGTTGATTGCTTATATTTCAGCTGGACCATCATTGGCACATAGCGTGAACTGCTAATTGAACCTGAATAATGATTGATGATTGAGTCCTGCAGTTTGTAATCTATGTGATTCTTACTTTACCTGACTGACATACTGTGTTAATGGCAGGTAGCAGATCATGATTTTGAAAGTTCTCCCAGTGTCAAGAAGATGGTAAGAAGAAAAGTCTTTCACCCATAGCTTTTCTCTGTGTATTGGGATATAAAACGATGGTTGTAGGTAATGTTTAAGTATGTCTTTTGATGTGCTAAGTTTGAAAGGCCTTACCAGACAATAGAAAATTGCCCTTGGGTGTTATCTTTCTTCTTCGTAGAATATTAATGCATAGTCTATTTTTTGGGGATTCCTGTATGCTAATTATACTCTTTTACCTTTCTAGAGAGAGACTGGGGTTGCTTCTCCTTCTTCACTGTCCAAGGATTCTAAACTTGAGGGCACTTCTAGTGTAAGTACAGTTCCAGATATTGACAGAAATTCTCTTCCTTGTCTGGTAAAGGTAAATAACTGACTCCTCTTCTTGTTCTAAATACATAAAGGCCTTCCAGTTTGAACTATGTTAACCAGAGCTGCTCCTTTTTTCTCCTTAACTGATGAAAGTCAAAATTGATGATGCAGATTTATGACTGTCCAGAGAATGAGTTGAAGCTTAATGATGTTTTCGAGTTTGTTGGTGTACTCACGTTGAATTCAGATGTTAGTGTGGATAAAGATGATAATAATGAGTTCTCAAATGGTTTCTTTGAAGATGAGTTGGTTCATTCGCCCCCTGACAAGGTAGTGGCTACATGTTCGAGCCACTAAACATTGTCTCATTTGATGAACAAAAGATTCCTTTCTGTCATTTTTGTAGATATGTTTTAGCAGTCATCAATCTCTAAATTTCAGCTCCCTTTAGAATTTTCTGTAGTATTTTATAGTAAGTTCTAATGATAATTCATATATTGGCCACTTTTGCAATCCTACAATTTTTACGTCCTTATGCTTGACATTGGTCCATGCACTTTTCATGATCAAAACTTCCTTCATATTGTTTTAAATTTTAGAAAGCATTTGATATTTGATAAGCATTATGAACTCATCATAATATTTATTGGTAGTAATAAAGTGCATATATTTATTTTTATCTTGTTTAGAAAAGTAAGTCCAGTATTGAATCAGTTTTCTATCTTTTTTCTTTCAGGTACCACATCTTCATTGTCTTATTCACAGGAAGCTTGATGTTCACGACTTTTTACAGACTTCACCCATGATGGAGGTGATTATTTGCCTGTCTTAGCCTTGTTTATCCTTCTGATTATGGATTGTCAATCTACATTGTTCTGACATATGTTCTTTTAGTTATGGATTCCAAAAGTTCATTTTCTCTCATTGTTGATCTATGTTTCTAATCTTTGATCCTGCAGCCGAAGCCCCATTTGGTGAAAGAGATAAGGGAATCCCTGTTGAGGCATCTTACAGCTACTCTTGGGAATGATGGGATAGCAGCTCATTTCATGTTGTTACATCTTCTTTCCAAGGTAAATTGTTCTATGATGATCTTGGTTTCAGTTCTATACTATGCTTGCCAAGATTTTTATCTCCTATTCATTAATAAGTTGTTTACCATTTCTTTCTTGATAACACTTGTGGAGTAATGGAATGTTTTTTTGTCAAGCAGGTACATGCTAGAGCAGACAATTTTGCTGTGGGGAAACTTTCTCTGAATCTCACTTGTTTAAGCAAAGAAAGTGTGTCTGTGTTTGGCAATCAGCTTAGACTTGCTTTCCAGAATGTCTTACCATTCACACATTACGTACCCCTTACTGTGGAGTATCTTAACACTGCCTCACTTGCCCCCAAGAAGGATTATCAAACAAATAGGTAATCAGATTTATAATTTGTAACTATGAAACAGTATTGCCTCTAATCTAGTGAAATCTTGACATTTCCAACTAGAAGGTTTTTTAATACCTGCTTGACATACGTATTTAATGATCCAGATTAATACATGGAGCTCTACAGCTAGCTGAGGGCTCACACTTGATCATTGACGAAACCCGGTTGGAAGCAGGGACCCTCAACTCCACTGGGGTTGAGAATGCAAGGTTACTGAAACAGCTAATGGAATTTCAAAAGGTGAAATATTTATCTTTGCCTTTTTTATGCAAGCAAGATCTTTTGAACTGTTATTTTTTTACTAGAGTTGTGCATCAGGTGGTTGATCTTGAACTAGAGTTGTGGTTGAAATATGTCTCAGGTGGAGTACGACTTTGAGTACTACAAGATGGAAATGACTGCTGATGTCCAGTTGCTTATATTTTCCGAAGGGAAATCAAACATTGTACCTGCTGATTTGGTTGTACCTTTTCAGCCTTCTTCATCAGGTTCCTTTGAAGTTGTGCCTATAGAAACGCTAGAAGCTTGGAGATGGTACTTGGCTACCGTTAGATCATTGCCACATTCTATTGAATCAGAAATGCAGCAGGTATGCAAAATATGTAGCCTGCATTTCTTTCAGATAAATTTTCTCGAGCATTTAAGTTAAAACCTCATAACATGACACGGTGATACTTCACAGGTGGTGGAAAATGATTTGGTTGCAGCAAGGCAAACAAATAGAAGCTTAAACAGCAAAGATTTGAGCAGGTTTAATAACTTACAAGCTGTTATTATGTGATATTATTGTCAAATTATAAAAGTGTTTTAAACTTGGATGTCGGTATTTTTGTTTAATTGAACATAAACAAATATTGCATTTACAGATTGGTGACAATGGGGCGCCTGATGTCTGCAAGTTTTGGAGAGACAACTTTGACATTGCAACATTGGCAGTTGGTAAAGGAATTGGAGAGGCTGAGAATGGAGAGACTTAAGTAACTTTACTCATCAGTCGATTATTGTACCAGATGATATATAACCCTTGTGGGATGGTGCGGATCATCTGAAAATTTAATGGGTCTGTGTATAATTGGAGTTGATGTACAATCACTAATTACTATGATAAATTGCTTTGGCTATTCTTTACTAAAGCCCCTTCTTACGATGGGATTAATGTTATTAAACCTAAAGGATTTTAATGCTTGTTCTAACTAATAGTGCTGATGTACAATTAACTACCTATGCAATCACTGAATTAACCGCAAAACTAGTCCCAATTAGGCCTGCAAACGAGGCGTCCATCAGTTGCTCGGGCTCGAGTTGAGCTCTAGTGCCAATGTATATTTTTTATATTAAAATTAATACGATGGAATCCATCCACATGGGCCTGACTTGGTTTAAATTGGGCTTATATTTCGGGCTGACCCACTTAAATAAAAATCCTTCAAATTTAGGACATCTTTTTTCCGTACAGTTGACCATGGACGGTTCGACTTGAGTTGAGACTTGAGAATACAAGGAGAAAGCTCGTTCAGTTTCTCCGTTTAGACGAGAACGATGATGTTTATAAACAAATCACGCTTAGATGCGACCGTCTCCTCGTTCGTTACGGTGCACCCGCACGAGACCTCCGCTCTTCTCCACTCCTCCTCCTGCTTCTTCTTTGTACGTTTTCATTTCATTTGATCTCACTTGATTAAATTATACATTTTTTGTTTTAAATAATTATATTTTTACCGTAGATTTTGAGCGCATACTTTGTTGTGTTACCGTTGCGTGATGAAGGAGCGATCTCACTTGGTTTGTCAAAATTGCCTGGTCTCTTCGTCGGATCGTTATTGCTGACTTTAATAGCTGCGCCTGTTTCAACTCTCATATTTTCCTTGCCTAATCTCTCTAAATCCAAGGTACTTCTTCATGGCATTTCTATTCTTTGTTGTATAAGTTTTTAATTGAGGAGCTCACACAAAATTTCACTCAAATTCTGAACCATTTGATTAAATATATTAAGTTAAGTAGCTGCATTTTAGTTACCATAATTTTTTTTTTTTTTTTCATTTACAGTCTCTATAACATTATTTGTTTTAAAAATGCAAGTAATTTTGTTTTAGTCTCTTGCAAATTGCTGTGTCATGCTTCATTGTTTCAGGGTTGTGACTAAAGTGGGGTTACATGCATGTATATATTCATCTTTGTTCGTAATTGAGAAGAGAGGAAAAGATCATCGTTTAGGCTAATAGCTGAAGTTTTTGAGTTAAGATTTATGCTCGTTTGCATATCGTGCTGTAATAGGTGCTTCTTGAAATTCCAGGCTTTGGTTTTGATACATAGGTTTTTTGGTGTATCGCTTGTTGTATTCTACATTCTATGGCAGTCTTCCTCAGCAGGGTATTTATCATCCAACTTGGAGGTGAGACGAGAACCACTGTTATTGTAATGCTCTCCGATTTTTATTCTCAGTCTATCTTTAGTGAACTATGTGCTTTCCCACGTGCAGGGTAAATTGAAAGAGGATCCAGAGGGTGACCTTAATCAAACTAGCACCGCAGGTTCTGTAGATTGGAGTAACCGTGGTTGGTTTTATGTTTCAGTCAGAATTGGATTCTTCCTTTGGGTAAGACAATAACTGAGTTATTTGTACTTGGTTTTTGCAGTAAATTATTGTTGAGCATTTTTGGTTATAGTTTAATATTATTATTTCTATTTTCTGCGTTGAAGGTGGCTTTGCTTAATTTGATTACAATTTCTTCAACTTGGGCTAGAGTGATTGATGTGATGAACACTGAGGTCTGTATGCAAGATCTCTTATGAAAATTGTGGTAAAAATTGTGGTTTTTTGAGCACATTTAACTTTGTCTCTTATTCAGTCAGGCTCAAGATTGTTTGGGTTCATTGGTGCTGGTGCTACATTTGGCCAGCTTTTTGGTTCATTGTTTGCCACAGCTATGGCCTTTTTAGGTCCATGTACGTTTTCCCATTCAATTTTGTACAATCTTTTGCTATTTATTATATTCTTCTTTTTATCTTCCTTTAAACCAAGGGCTTGTTCATTGTAGTTCTCCTCCTGTTTGCTGCTCTGTTGATGGAACTCGCAGCACAGTCATCAAAAGGAATCAATAAGGATATATCTCATCCTTCTGAAGAGTTAACTCCCATAAGGTTAGCTATATAACATATATTTCTTTGTTCCACTTAGTGGTTTTGGTTTCTGTTGATGCCTAGTGATAACATAATTGGAATTTGAATAGTAATGGTTTCTTCTTTTCTGGAAAAATCTGAATTTCACTAAAACATATCATGTTTAATATGCTGCAATTTATAGAAGATATCTAGGTTGGAATTTGAATAGTTGGTTTCATTTTTTTTTTTGGGGAAAATTTGAATTTTACTGAATTATATTATGTTTAATATGCTGCAATTTATAGAAGACATCTGGATCACATTACAGAAGATAAAGTTTGCATGCATTCACAGACACAGAACACACACAAGCTCAGAGCTGTATAAGATCTTAACCTGGTTGCTTTTGCATTTAGAAAAGCTGATTCTGATCAACAAAGTGAGGCTGAAGTGCAGACTGCACCTGCAGCCAAAGCATCTTCCCCTAAGTTATCTACTTCAACAGTGAAGCCTCGTCTTGGGGCTATCCTAGATGGACTCTGGCTTATACTCTCCTCAACTTATCTGTTGTATGTGTCTTTATTCCTGTGGCTGAGTGCAGTTGTCTCCTCATTCTTCTATTTTCAGGTAAAGCAGCCTCTGCTCTTGGAAATGTATTTTGGGTTTTTTAAACCACCTCTGACTTGTATTTTGACTGAAAGTTACGGAAGATCAATTAGGTTATATCAAGCACTACATTATTTGTTTTTTAGTTCAAATCATTGTCACTGTATTACTGGTTAACAATAAAAGATTGGCATATTAAATTGAGATTAATTTGCTTGATTTCATATGGTTGCTCCAGATTTTTGGTGATCGTCTTTCCTTATATTTTTTTCTCTTTCTCTTATTGAAATGCATTTTGTTGTATATTTTATACCATATCCCAATCTTACTGGTCCACCATTCTTTGCTGAATTGCAGAAAGTGACTGTTATTGCCATGACTGTTGCAAGCCCTGTTGGTAGAAGAAGATTGTTTGCCGAGATAAATAGCTTTATTGCTGTTTTTATTCTTGCTGGACAACTAACTTTAACAGTATGCTACCTCTATGGTTAGGTTCTGTGCTGTAATGTATTTGATTTTATACTTTGCTGTTCCAATAAATTTCTTCAAGGATGTGTTAGGGATGTGTTTATACTTGGCAGAATAATTATATGTCTTCCCTCTCTCCCTACCTCCTTTCCTAGTAGAGAGAAAAGAAAAAAGTTTGTTCCAAAGTTGATGAGGTAGATATTATGATCATATGAAATTTAGTATTAGCCTAGATAAAGAAGGGTTGTGGCATATACTGTCTTTGCAAAACAACTTCTTGAAATCTTGCATAAAATAAACTTCCAATATTGATAATTCAAATTTTTAATGGGGGTTAGATGTGGTCACTAATTGGGGAGTATTATGCCTAGACAATGGCAAGTGTTATCTTGAGTCAGGCCAAAGGAAAAAGTATGATAATGAAATTTTTTAGGAGAAAAACACCAATACTTATGCTAGATGCCACTAATACAATTTCTTTTTCCTTTATTGGTTTACCCAATTATGTACAGGGACGTATCCTTTCTATTGCTGGGGTTACTGTGGCTATTTGTGCTGCTCCATTTGTTGCCTTTTCAAATATGATTGCTATTGCAATATGGCCAACTTGGGTGGTGGTTGCTGCTTCTGAGACCATACGAAAGGTTTGTCATGAATTCCTACTTTGTTTCCTTCTTGTAGTGAGGGTTATGTATTGTTGATCCATGTATTACTTGTCAGTTGATTCTGTATACATTATAGATAAATGCAATTTTTACTGGGGTTCAGAAGACATTTAACTGGAAGTTGTTCTAAAATTCAAATGTTGAGTAAATCTTACAGTTAGGCATCTTCATTACTTTGTAGGTGGTTACTTATGTTGTGACCAGGCCTGGAAGAGAACTTTTATTTACTGTGGTCTCCCAAGAGGAGAAATACAAAGCTAAGGTAAGCAATCTATAATTGATTTTTATTTTTATCGTAACTGGAATGTGGAGCATAGAATCACCTTGTATGCCCATTATTTGATGATCTTATAATTAGTTTCTTCAATTTGAGATGTTGTCCTCAAAGAATATGCACAATAATTAGCATCTATTCAAGTTTTCTTTTTATTCTTGTATACATTGCATCTGTTGTGCTCTACTATTTTAAAATGTCAAAAGTAGCGAAACATCAGGGCTTTTCTGAACACAAGTTTCCACAGGTATGCATAGATGTAATTGTCCAACGACTTGGAGATGCATCCGCAGCAGGAATGTACAAACTACTGTTTGGCACTCTCCATGGGAGAACATCAACCGTTTCCCTCTATGCCCTTCCTGTAAGTCTAAACCAACTTCCCAGATATTTATATTTTAAGTCTCAAACATGTTTTCATTCAATTCAATGAGCTTTTTCATTGTCAGTATCTAACTGCTTCTAGCTATTTTTGTTCTCAACTTTGGTACATTAATTACATAATGCATTCTTTCTCTTAGTGTTTATATCCTTTGGCTGAAGATTTGCTTGTTGTCTTTTGGCTCAGGTCTGTTTATTATGGATCGCTACAGCATTCCATTTAGGACGCCGCCAAGCACAACTAGCAAAGCTTTCAGCTTCCTCCCCTTCCTGAATTTTTTTTTCTGGAAAGGATGATTTTTTTTTTGTACAAATAGTCAGTATTGTAGTTCACTTAAATGTCTTACTATTCATGTAACTAACAAAGCGATAACTTAATAGACAACAGTTTTGCATTTGTGTTGCCCAAATTTTATAGAATAATAATACCAAAATGAGAAGCAAATAGCAGCTATCTAATGAAAGAGGTAATTAATTTCATTCAGAAAGAAACTCAACATTCGAGACTGCCATGAAATTGCTCCTCCAACTTCCCTCTCAGCCCCAGGCACACAATATCAATATCGATCTCTAGTTGCTTCATTATGTTTTAAACTTCTGATAACAATGAACCTATCGAGCATGCAGATTACTTCAAAGTTCAAAACACTAACAATAGCTGCCATTTTTCAATACAAAAAGTTTTTGCCTAAATTGGTCCAAAGTGAAGGAGGCATGGATATTGTATCGATCAAGATTGAGACTGTTTGGATCCCCACTAAATTAACCTCCCTTTTCGGGATTCCAAGATTATCTTCTTCAAGAGTCCAGGGCCCTCTCCTTAACTCACTGTCGTCTTCACTAGAATTGCACCCATTTTTGCAACAGCTGCAGCAGGCTGCCTAGCTACTCTCATTTTGTGAAGTTTATGAGGGTTAAAAACCAGAACAAAATGGGACTCAAAAACAGTAATAATAAACAAAGGAATTAGAAAGTTCCCAATACTGGAAAAGTCCCTAAAAGCTTCAAACTACACCTAGAAACTAGGAAATATAATAATAATGGCAAGAGTGGTGGTGCTTTTATATAGAAATGGACAGGAATTGGAACATTCAAAGTATTTTTCTAATTCCTTCACATCAATAAAAAAGAAACCAATCACAAGGGAATTATTATTCACACAAGTGAATTGTGGGTCCTCTTTATTTATATCCCCCCACCAACTCATGAGCATAGTTAGTAAATACGGTACGGTAAAAATGGTACGAGAATTTTATGGGATGATACGGCAAACGGTGAAAAAACATTTTAAAATTTGGCCTTAAAATTTGGATACGGAAAATATAGTACGGTTTAATAGTGTATATTGTCAATAATACGTTTTAAAAAATACGGTAATATTAATCCTAATTTTAGTATTTTTTATGATCATTGAATTAATTATTCTTTATTTTTTTTATAGGTGTATAATTTATTTCTTTTTAATTAAATATTTTAGTTTTTATTATAATATATTAAAAATGACCAATTATTAAATAAAATAAATAATTTTATTGTCTTTTAAGTGGAAGAAGAAGATGGACGAACAGTGGTGTTTGTTGAGTAGTTGAAGAGGAAAGATAGAGACGCCAAAAAAGAGAAGAGAGAGAAAAAGGCACAAAAAAAGAAAAAGAGAAGAAGGGAGAAAGAGGGCACAAAAAAAGAGAAAAGAAGAAGAGAGGAGAAAGGAAGCGGCGCAGCAAAGGGAATAAAAGGCGCGAGAAAGAGACTGACACCGCGCTTAAGAGACTGAGCATAAAACCGACGTTACTTTGATCAAATTTTACCTAAATGACGAAGTTTTGATTAAATTTAACCTAAAACGATATTGTTTTGATCAAATTTCATCTAAAATACATCGTTTTGGCTCAGTAAATAAAATTTTAGTTTTAAAATATGATTGAATTATACGAGAATTATATGTGAATTATATGGTTAGGCATATAATTCGCGTATAATTCAACTGTATTTATAAAATACAGGAATTCGTGTTCTATACGTGAATTATAGATTGGGCTATAATTCACGTATAAAACGCAAATTTTACTAACTGGCTCGTGAGTATACAACATTAACATCTTTGCCATTGTCTTATCTAGACTCTCCTGAATTTTTATACATTATAGAATGAACGGTTAAGATTTATTATCTGTTTGGATTAAGAAAGAGCATCTCCAAATTATTCTTTATATGACTGAAACTCTTTATTATAAAAAGCCTATCCTAAAATAAGAGTTTAACATACTTTTTATCTTTAAAATATAAATTAGAGAATGAGTTTGACTCTATATATTTAGAGAGTCAAATTTCATTCTCTATCCTAATTTTTATAATAAGTACAAGTTTTTATGCATTTTATTTATTAATTCCTCTCCTATTAAGTATTTTTCTTAAAAAAAAAGAGCATCTTCATTAAATTTAAAATCTATTAGATTTAAATAAAAATTGTGTTATTTATATTTAAAAATGAATGAGATGCTCTATTTATATAAAAAACGTTTTTCAGAATAAAAATCACCATGGAGATACTCTTAATGAAAGAGAGAATTAAAATAGAAACTTGTAGTTTATTAATTAAAATTAAGATAGATGAAATTTAACTCTCTAAAATGTGGAGAGTCAAACTCACTTTCTAATTTGTATTTTAAAGATAAGAGTAAGTTAGACTCTTGTTTTTATGAATAAAGAGTTTGGGTCTTATAAAAAACATTTGGGATACATTAGGGAGCCCAACAAGGCTTTTCCAGATTCTTCAATTTTATAAAAAGGTGGTCAAATAATACATATTATTTGATGATTAATTTAGTCCACAATATTGAAATATACGGCATTTATTCATGTTAACCAGAAACGGTCATCTTTGAGAAGGCTTAGGAGAACGTTTTATTGAGCCACGACTTGACACATCCTTCAAACATGTGCCTACACTTGTTCTGGGTTAATGTAAAATCAAATCCAGGAAAGCTTAACTCAAAATAAATTTATAAAAACTTGATAAATTTTTTAAGATAATGATATTCATCCCAAATTTCAAACTCACACAGATAAAATAAAAGAATCAATACAGATAAAATAATGAAAAATGATGGGGCTAGGAAGAGGATGCTGCCTCTGTCTCTGTGTCCGTACCTCTGCCTATGCCTTTAGGTCTTTCACCTAGAAGATCAACCAGAGAGGAAAGTCAGCGGAAAGAAAAAAAAATTTCTTGGACGTTTTTTCAATCGTATATTCAGTCCCATTGAAAATAAGGGGTACGAGCTCAAGCAGTTGACTACTTTCTTTTCTAATAACAAGAGTGTATCGTTCGGCTCATTTGGAGGGAAGAAAGATTCATATTAATCGTAGGCTTAGACCTCCTTACCTCTGTGATAGCCTATTTATCTAGTTTACGAGGCTTTCAGTCTACGATAGCTAGTTACAGATGATAAGAAAGGATAGGGCTAGTTTCAGATTAAGCAGTTTTGCATATAAGGAGAGGTACACCAATCGTGCCTAACTGCTTTTTAAAGCAGCCAGACAGATTCAAAAGAAATTTCAGCAATCTTCGTCAAAGAGCCTAGCGCTTGGTGATTCAATTGCACACAGTTGATTCTCGAACAAGAACAGCGCTTAGGCATTCAGTAACGACGGTTATTCCAGCAAAGGGGCAACAAGGAGACAAAGATGACCTGCCAATGGTAATCTTAAATAAGAGTACGTGCACTAAGGCGTGGTGCATTCCCCTGGCTCGTACCAAAACAGCTGAGATCAAAACTTCTATCTGGGCTAGTGCCGTTAGGGCAATTTCAACAATAGAATCTATCTGCCAGGCGCATCTGGGGCGATAACGGTTTCAGTGCAGTTGAAGTTTTCCGGATATAGTGTTTCATTTGTCCCGTAACTAGTATCGCCTCCCCGCCCAGCTCTATCAGCAGCCCTTTCTTTTGCAATACTTAATAAGTCTTTCATGGCCCAATATTATACAGCGTTCTCTACCATAGAATTCGGCCTTCGGGGTCAACCCGGCGGCTTCTATGAGAAGGCGCGCAAAGAGGCTCGAGGGCTTGTTAAGGAAGGCGGCAAGGGCCGACGAGGGGGAAAACGAAAAGGAAAAGGAGCAGCACTTTCTGTAGTTGTATAGGTCTGGGCTCTCTTCTTCTTCTAGTCATCTGCAACAACTGCCAATCCCGCCCTCTTTCTCTCTATGGGATCCCGACCTCGACAAGGGTCCGATGGATGTGTGGCTGGGCATGGGATGCTGTAAATCAAGACCTTTTACCTGAGCTGAGAGGTAGGTAGGGCGCTTATCAAATGATACAGAGGTCTCTTCGATTACCATACTACCCATGTGAAAAGGAAACCACGATCATCTTGTTCTATTTTCGCTGGTATGACTTCGAGCATTTGATTGATGACTCATTCCTCTACGATTGGTCCGACTTTCTGACTTAAGAGGTTCACAATACCTTTCTTCATATTCCCTTACATTGAATGCTCCTTCAAACATGTGCCTACGACTTTGTTCTGGGTTAATGTAATCAAATCCGGGAAAGCTTACCTCAAATAATATTATAAAAACTTGATAAATTTTTTAAGAATAATGATATTCATCCCAAATTTCAAATCTCAACAGATAAAAAAGATCAATACAGTTTACGATGAGTGTCATTAATAGTCTTAAACTTATACTGACAATTTATTTTGACAACGTACGATGAGTATCATTTTGAAGATCACCGAGACTCACCACGCCACCATGAACCCTAAACCTACATTACATGCCACATATGGCTGCCGTCACTTTATTATAATAAAAGATATAAATCATATATTCTACACACGTGAAGATCAGAGCAAGATGCCCGTTACGTGGACGAAAGGAGGCCGTCGACAAGGAAATAATGATCCTAATCCAAGAGAAGTTTGCCATATTTACCTGTTTTGAAACTATTTGCGCCACGGATTGGTCATCATGCAACGGCCGTCGCGCGGATAATCCGGCGGAGTTGATGTTGGCGTTGTAGAGGGGGTGAAAAGCATTATGAAAATGGTTAAGGGCATCCTTCGAGACAGTTCCACTCCTCCCTTGAGCACCATTAATACCAGATGAATGATTTCCATAACCAGGCAACATAGCTTTATTTGCCGATGGCCCTTTTTTTTAACGTCGGCATATTGAGATGGTGGTGGAAAGCTAGGTTTTTGGTTGACATAGTAGCGAATGGTAAATAAAATGGATAGGAGAGTAAAAATATAGAAAATTCTTTGGCTAACACAAAATTGCGTATGGTAGGTTCACATTTATAGATGAAATTATTACTGCATGCAGTTATTGGCAAAAATTGGGTGTAATTACAATAAAATGG